AATTTGGAAAGTAGCCAACCAAAGGACTACGGTAACCATTGCTTTCCATAGCTAAAGTGCCTGAGTTTTGCGGTTATATAAAAATGAGTACATTTCCAGACAACTGATCAAATTTGCAAGAAATCCAGGTGTCAGGTCCAAAGTTCATGTGTGCAAAGTGTTGATGCTACTGCATAGCACTGCCTTGGTTGACACAAACAGCATTGCTGGAAAACTGTTGAACATACTGGTAAGTTTTTGGTGATCCTCATGCGTGGATGTATACATGTACATGTATGTACATGTGTACATGACAGAGTTCACAGTAATTGTGTTGCATATGAGAATGGTCTGAACTGCTGGTCAGTCTAGATCTTGATACCGTAGCGTATGTGCATAGGTATATGTAACAGTACCACTGAGAAGAGGGCATTGTGTTTCAAACATATACACTATGTACATGTACATGTGAGCACAGGGACTATGGTGCATGCGTGTGTACAGTAACCCTGAGGATCTACGCTGTACATGTAGAAAAACATTTTTTGTTCCCTTTGTGTTATATGCTTCACGGTGAAGTTAAAAACAGGTATTCTTGAATTTATTTTCAATTAATTTCATAACATTTTATTTATTCTTGAAGAATCGTGCGTATTTGAATGGCTGTGCATTGCCATGGAATTTGTTTTTGTTTTATGTAAAGTGGGATTTGTGAATGTACATGTATGACATCACTTGAAAACCACTGGATCATTTGTTTTTAATCTTTGAACAACTCAAGGAGCTGCAGTATTCCAAGTCTGCGCATATTGAATATGCACCACTACTGTACATGTGCATGTACAGTATGTCAAAAGCTACATGTACATGTATGTACAGTACATGTACAGTATCCTCGGTTCAGTTTGCGTGTGCGTTTGACAAGCATACGTGTTCCGGTACTCCCTTAAGTCGCACTTTGAAATGTTTTCTTCGGATCAGATAAAATCTCTCGGGCTCTAATATTTGTGTCTTGTCAATTACTAGTGCAATAACCCATGAATGACCTATATGTATACATATACATATACAATCTTGAGTTGAATGATGTACTCTGATCCTCCATTTACTTTGCCCTCTTGCCTGTTTTTTGACAGTCATTTACAAAAGTTTAAGACCACCTGGAATATTTCATTGATATTTCTGTCACTGGGCCTGCATTGCATTGTCTGCATTATGTTGATGCATAACATCAGTGTAGTGACATATGTAGGCCTACCCATTTGAATGAAATTTTTTCAAAGGCAGGTCATATATGACATTTTTGTCGGTAAGGCAGCATGGTTAAAAAAGCCGTTCTAAGTAATCAGAAATAAAAGATGGCGCACTAAATATTAGACTAGTTTTAACATTTCAAATCATAGAGGTGTAGTCAAATAGCTGTTGGACCAAGATACATTACAGTGTACATGTACATGTACCAAGGTTACACATTGAAAATAAACATACACGTAAGTTACCATAATTGATTGGTTTATTTTGGGTTTTTTTTTTTCAGGTTAATGCATTTTGTATGGGTGGTCTGACTGTAATTTCAGAAGAGACTTCATTTGATTTATTTTGTAATGGCTCACAGGGATTGTTTTCTACTGGTATGTGTACTGTAGGCTGTAGTATACAACATCAGGCCAAACATTGACATGTATACAGGGTGCTTGGTACCAGTTCATGGAATGGAAGGTAATGGAATGTTTAAACTTTTACACTGTACATTTACAGTTCTTGCAAATGATAGTCATGAGCCATTCAGTTTGGCAATAAAATTCAATTTTGAATAACTAAAACTTGTTCATGGAGTAACACTGGCACATTTGAGTAATTCAAATTAACCATGGTGACTTTCAATCTAAAAGTGAAATATAGTATGTGTGAAGCCTATTAAAAACTTGTGTCTGAGTTTTGTGGGCATACTGGTATATTGGAGGTTGAACTTGTCTTTGTACACATAGATAGTGTGTATGCAACTGTTTAATTGATGTCCATACATGTATGTACATGTACAGTACCTACATGTACATGTAAGAAAGTTTAGCCTATTGGTCAAAAGGGATGTAGTGATGTAGTCAAGTCCTCCCCAAGCCCCTTGAGTTCCTGAAAGTCCATCATAAGTCATTCTGTCATAAGTCAATAAGCCTTTTGCGAATTAAATTTGAATAAAATCTGGTACATTGACTTTTTTAAATTCACATGAATATAACAATTTGATTTCTCCTTGCTAAAGACCCTGTTGCTTAACCTTGTGATTCGGGGAAATGTTTTTTACATGTACATGTATATGTACATGTAGTTACATAAGAGACACCTTGCACCAGTGCACATGGTGCACTGTTTTCAGTGGATAAGAAGGGCAAAAAAGAAACAGTCCATTCCAGAGACGGTGGAGACTATGCAAACGCTTGCCCTGAATAACAAGGTACCGGTATAATGCGGCATACTGTAGCAATAATGTCTTTAGTCTGGAGAATTCAATTGTTTTATGTACAATCAGATTAATCAGTATACCAGGTTTACCATGTAACTCACAAAAGGCTTATTTACCGATAGTTATTCACAAGCTGTTCAACTGAACTGTGACAAATGCATTGTTTTGTTATTGTTCACCCTGTCACTTATGGCTGGTTTAGTGAAAGGACTTGTGACTGGTACGTGGCTTAGACAGTATTTTGATATTGTCAAATAGTGGCGGTATGTTTCTGATAATATTACTGACTGATGATCCATAAATACCAAAATACTGGTACTGGCAAACTTGGTATGGAATTGCAAGAGCCTAGAGTATTTGCAGAGCTCTTTTAAAATAAAGGAAAACCACATTCAGTGTATGATCATATTTTATTCCATTCTTTGTAGTATAGGCCATCCAATGTGATGTCTGTACTGTCATTACTATTAATGGGGAGATAGGACATAATTGTCAAGCTGGACATGAAAGTTAAGTAGTTACCAACCCACCAACCAAAATGCAAGAAGTTTAATTATCACAGCCATTGTGTGTAGCTTATAGTGTCTGATTAGAAGTCACAAACAGTGTTTTACAGGGCTGTATTTTGTCACAGTTTTTTTTATAGCAGGGGTGTGATTTGTCCAGATTTTTTTGGATTTCCGGAATTTCTGTGATTTCCGTATTGTCATTGCTTTCAATATGTAATGCAAAGACTACAATATATGGTGCGAAACTAAGCGAAAGACTTGCACAAGTTTAGGTGTATAGCATGCGTTTTGGGTTGTTACTCCCCTGGAAATGTGCCAGATACGTAGGTAATAGTACACTGAACAGAGGGGGTAATCATTGTTAAAACATACATGTAGGGACCCAGGCTAGCGATATGATCGTTGTGTGTATGTACATATACTGTACGCTCGCTGTGTGTGTACAGGACATGTACGGTACACATGTTGTCATTGCCTGCACTGTGTACAACTTGCGTCTGTCTGCCATTGCGTTTCGTTTCGTTCTAGTGGTGGTCTGATGTCGATGACGTCCATCAAAAGTGTCATACAAGGTAGTAAGTAGGGAATAGGATCTGAATTTAGACAAGGGATTAAAGAATTCTTGGAAATTTTCCTGGCTGGAAACTCAGGTGGACAGAGAATTAACCAAGGGGAAATTGATATATTATCGTGACTTTCTGTGAAAATCGACAAACCTGGGTACTGCAAGTGCACATGGTGTCACAAGTAAAGCAGTACTCATCTGTATGAGACAGTTTTCAGTTTTAATAAATTATGAAATAATTTTGTAGATCACTGATAACTTTGTGTGTGTGTATTACACTTCCAGGTCTTTGATTGTTACCAATTATAGCTTACATGTATAATTGCAATTGAAGTGAATGAGGACAAGGGTTTTGTTGCAGTAAATGTTATAATTGTAACCTTCAAAGTAAGAACAGCTCTTGTGGTGGCTTACATGCAGTACCAGAATCTCCTCCTATAATCAGATAGATATGCTGCGAATTGTAGGGAAGCTGTGGCCAACGTGACTTGCAAAACCCTCTGAAGAATGTTTCATGGATTTTTCATTTTCCCCAAATCACACCCCTGATGTATAATTTCCTGTGTTGGAACACGGCATCATTCTTGGCTCAAAAATTAGCAAATGCAATCTTCATGTTTTTTTATTCCGTTACAGAAATAATACATTCTTGAAAATAAATGGATTGATAATTATGCAAATACTTCTTGAGTGTAGGGATTTTGCCATGTTGATAACAATCCTCATGCTGGCTTGTATTTGTTGACATTCCCAGTGAAAGTCGGTTTATCAGTACTGCTTTTTGATGACGTGATACTCCACTTCAAAGAACAGCACAGTATTAGTGAATATTGTGGTTTAAAAAATATCATCCAAGCCTAGTGACTAGACTTGTGAAGGGACTTGCGATGGACTCAACTACATGTAGCATGGTTTGGCTGTGGACCACCTCACGTAGTAGGCACCATGCACACCCCAATTTCAATATGACTACTTGGAAAAGGAACATACATGTACACGTACCATAACAAGGCTAGAGAGGTGTTTAAAAAAAAGAAGTAAATTTTTGAACAAAATCGTTGGAAATTTAAAGTTTTAAGTATCAACCCCCCCTCCCGGCTGATCTAGATTTGGAGATTAGATTAGAGAATGATGAGAGAATCAATGCTGATCACGACCTTCACCTTTGGATTGTGTGTTGTTAGAATCTATTCTCCTGTACAACAGTGTACATGTACCAGTATTTGTTTTCTTATAAACATTGACCGTTGAGTCATTGAGAAAGATGACACTTTCTGGTTTTTGAAATATGTGGTTAACACACACTGTACAATGTACATGTACATGTACACACGTGTGCAAATTACTCATTGCTACCATACACTTCGTCTTTCAGTTACCATACTAGCTTTTATTTGAACATTACATGTATTTCCTTGCATGAGATTCCAAATTCAGTGAAAGATAAGAGTGGATGAAATGTTTGGGTTTTTTTTCTATTTAACAGAATGTGAAAACATGGCTACTGGTGTGGCTAGCAACTCAAAGCTAGCAGTGCATGATGGGAAGAATGATAACTCACCTTCAACTACTGGCAACTCCGTGGAGGTGGTAGGTAGTGTCAAGCTGGATGTAGCATGTAAGAAGTCTGCAGGATCCACGGAACAACAGGATGATAGTAGTTGTAACAGCAGTTTTGGTGGTGATGGTTCCATGGTGCATTGTGGGCAGCCTACCAGTGAGAAAGAGGATGTTGTCAAGGATGACGCGACTCTGCCCAATGGAGGTCAGGCTCAACACCAGACTGGAAGCACATCCCACAATATCACTTCCTGTTATTGTCCACATGGGCCTCTCAACCAGCCAGGGCGCCCAAATATAAATCCTCGGCCCATTCCCCGAAAACCTCAGACCCGTGTGCTGCCACCAAAACTGCCTCCAAAACCGCCACATTTGCTTCGACAGAGATCTCCTAGCTCTGACAATTTGATGGGCAATTCAAACCATGACAAACAAGGACAGGGTAGAGATAAGCGATCCCAGAGTGTCAGTGTTGTCAATGTTCATAGCCCACCTTCCAGGGAAGACTTCTCAGAGACCAAATTGTTCAAGCGGCCAGTTCCAACCCCGCGGAAATCACTGCCAAACATTTTTCCTGATCGAACTCCCTCAGACATGAAGAGCCTGGAGCAAGCCAGTGCACACTTAAAGGTGCAGAAACCAGACTCTGAAATGACTGCTGCAGGCCCTGCACCTGAACCCCAGTCGCCATTTGGACAAGGGGAAATGCTCAGCCCAAGGTCTGAAAGAGCAAACAGCTCCCCAGTCCACAGGCGAGACATTGTCAAGAAGAATCCAAGCAGGAGCTCCAAGCCAACTCAGCATGTTCGAGTGAGAGAGAGAGCAGCAATATTTGAGAAAATGATTGAGGTAGAGGCCATCAGAAACCGTGATTCTCAATCCAGTGAGCCAAGGTCTAGGACTTCATCAAGGGCATCTGACTTCAAAGAAACAAGTGGGCGTAAATTATTGGATGCCTCTGGCAATGTCTGTGGAAGCAGTGATCGGTACCATCCCTATGTTAATATACAGCTGCATGATGGCATACTTCTGTCTGAGAATATCCCTCGAATGAAGGATGCATTCGTGGAAGATGAAACTCTTTCTGTGACATCTGTGTCATCAGATGACTTATTCATGTTGCCACAGTCGAGTATGGAAAATCAACCTCACCGTCCTCCATCGCCAAATCTGTCAGAAGATGAGTATGCTGAGGATTTGAAAGATTGGAAGAGAAAATCAAGCAACACTGAGGTTTTCCTTCGAATTGATAGTTCATTCAAGGAGACTAAAGAATCAAATATTTCACACAGAGGAGCAGCTGATACATATGTCATCACAACAGATTCTGATGCTGGGGATTCAGAGTACACAGACATTGTAATTCCTGATCCAGTTGTATCACAGAACAATCAGAAGTCAAACGTTCTTCAAATTTCAAATTCAAAGAAGGTTTTCATTTCAAAGCCAACTCCAGATACTCAAGACTTAACAGGTGTCAATACAGACTCAGAATCAGTTCTGGACTCAGATATACCACAGATTTCAGACAGGGAGTCTGATTATACCGATGTCATTGTCCCAGATTGCAGCACATCCCAGGACTCTACATCACCCAAAGTGGCCTTAGATACAGCAGAACCTTCTGTCAGACATGACAAGCCAAGGTTCAGTCTTCCTACTGAACAGAAGAGGACATCATATGCCTCGGAGCTTGTGAGACATGACATGCTGTCACCTGAGCATGCGCCTAGCTTGCCAAAGCCTTTTCATGGTGTTAACAAGTACAGGAATGTCACCCCACTGTTCTGTTTTCCACCCAGGCAAGCTGAGACCTGTGACACAGCTGAAAGCAGGAATGACACTGAGTCAGCAAAAACGGGACCAGCTCATAAACATCAAGGTGACGTAATTAGGATGGAAACTGACCAGGATCAGGAAGGAATGCAAATGAGATTGACTGATAACTTGCAAAGTTCTACCAATCTCCCCCTGGGAATGAAGTCCCAAATGGAAGGGGATGACCAACAACAAGCTGACAGAGTACTGGTCACTGAAGACACTGCAATGGCTACAGAAACCTCCAACATGTTGCCAGAGCCCTGCCAGCAAGACCAACACAGCAAGTCACATCCAACTGTGAGCAGTGAAACACAATATGAAGTCTGGCTCCCTGACTCCATTGACCCAATCAGCTTAAAAAAGCAAGATGGAGTTGGAAACGTTTCCCCTATGATCAACAGTGACGTTTGTGGGTCACAGATTGAAAAGTCGCAGGTTGCTGAACTGTATGAAAAACGATCACAGGAGTTACCAGATATAGGTAAGAAACTGTTCATATAGGGCCAAGTATTTCTGCACAGAAGGACATTGTACATATACTTTCTCATACACTGCATATGGGGGTTTTAGTCATAACAACTCATATTCTCTCAACATACATGTACGTGTATGTTAAGTTGAAAAATTGGATAGTTTCAATTAGGTGGAAAATTAGGAGAAAATTAATAATGTACATGTACTTACATGTAGAATGCTGACTGGTACAGTAAATCAAGCAATTCAGAAGTGCTTCTGTCATTCCTCAAGATACAGATACTGATATGATGCACCCATCGATATTCTAGCATACAAATCAAAGTGTGCGTATATGTATGTTGTACTTGAACATGGTTGGACATACATGTACATATTCACGTACGTGTACATGTACAGTATGTGTACCGGTACAAGTCCATGCATGTACATTTTTCAAGTAATAGCTCCCCAGAGGGGTTCTTTCAAACAGAAAATAAAATGACAGACTACATTACATTTACACGCACTGGTACATTGTCTACATGTTCATACTCAGGAGAGGGCATTGTGTTTTGTATTTCTAAAATACCGGTATGATACTCTCCCATAGGCTTAAGCACAGTTAATTACATGTACAGTGTACATGTACCAATGAGGACAAAAGACTTATTTTTGAGAACAGAAAAGCATGCTCCCATTCTGTTCTGTCCTTTGTGGCAATGTAAAACACGTTCATGTGTACTGTGATGTACGTGTACAAGATCACAGTCTTGGATAGCAATCAGCAATCCAATCTACATGTACAGGTAGCTCCAAAGGATATCACTTCTCTTCAGTTCATGATCTTGTGTGGCACTGCAAATCCAAGTTAAAAGAGGAGGGTGTGAGTTGATTCAGTGACCCATGACCTACATATACAAGTATATGTAAGATTAAGGTACATGTATCACAAAATCAGTAACACAAATTACATGTACTTACATATAATGCTGTACCTCTCACCCTGTTAGAGCTCCAGGCACACCCTTTCTACCAAAATAAAATCATGTCACATCTGTAGATTCTGCAATTTCTGTACAGTCATTGATTGAGTCACAAGCCATTGTTCTTGCTAAATGTGGAATTGTGTGTTGATCTTGGCTGCACATGTCCTCTTACATGGATATTCCTGTGTCAGATACATGTACAATGTACATGTACGTGCGCAGTTATTCACCACAGTACACATGTACATGTGTGTTTAACATTGCAAACAGAAAAAAGAATGTTTTGATTCATTTTCTGTAAGTACAAGCACCTACATGTACCTGTATATCTGTGTATGTACATGTACAGGTCTACAAGCACCTACATGTACATGTACCTATATGTGTGTATGTATACAGTATGTACAGGTGGGACATTCACTTGAGCCCATTTGGTCAGTTCTAGTGCTTGTTCTTAGGTTTGGGTGCTCAGTTGTTGGCCTAGCATTTTCATCTACATGCATGTACATGTACTTACAAGCACCTACATGTACCTACATGTACCTACATGTATATACGGTACATGTACATGTATACTGTACGGTATGTGTGTGTATGGACATGTACACGCATACATTTACTTAGACAAGTTTGTTTGTACATGTACATACCGTCCATATACTGTGTACGTTTGTTGTTTTCAGAAATGAACTTGGTACACATGCATCCAATAAACAGGTATAAACACCATGTGAGGCACTATTTTTCATGTTATGTCTAAAAGTTTTCTGTAAGTTTTTCATTGAAAATACATGTACTTGAGCAGTTACCTGTGCAGAGTTAACGGGGAACAGGTGGTTGGAGTGTATCATTCTGTATGGCAAATTTGTTCACATCGTTTTTGTACATTTGACTATTTTCTTTTTTATATCTTTCAGAAGGCAGTGGTGATGGTGATGGATCAGACATGCTGTGCAATCGATCCAGGTAGATAAATACAGTACATGTATTTCAAATCCCACACATTCATGGAAATACATGTACAAATGTGCAGACCTGTGCATGTCTGTGGCATTAGAAATGTCATTTTTAGCCCCCCTACATACATGTACACCTTAGTGTCCCTTTTAAATCATTTTCAATCTTCATTTTGTTATTTTCAATGGGTTTTAGGGTTTTTGTGTATGGATTTACATATATGTGCAAGTAAAGGTGTGATTGCCTTCCAGGCAGGAATTATTAAGCTCTAAGAGTGTTATCTTACGTGTAAATGTGACCTGTCATGACACAATGAGTGTAAAGACGTAAAGTTGTGGGATTTGGACGGAGTAACATTTCTATTTAATTCCAAATTTTTTGCAGGATCACGTCTGATATTTCATAGGTTATCTTCTTACAAATTATGAAAACATTAATTGTGCCTGGTCAAAAATGTGCAAACAGTGTCAGAAACAAAAACCAACAGCTGCTGGAATAATGTCACATTGCCACCTTCACCCTACTTTTACTTTAAGTCGTATACACCATTGGATAGCTCTTATACTGCCGAATTAAAAAATGCCGGTATGTTAATTTATGGAAATTCAAACTTCCAGCTCATTTGTGATGGCAGGTCACAAATTTTTTAGTTGTCTCAGTTGAGAAGAGTTGACCACTGAGCAATGTTTGTGTGTATGCACCCAAAAATAACATTATGCAACAGTGTCTTTGTCAACATTTGAAGCAAGATATGGGACAGAGAGAACCCCCTCCCCTTTTGTGTTGGTCATTGTTTGACCCGAATCTCGGGAATTCTTTTCAAGCATCTAGGGGAATGTGTTAGGAAACAATAGTCCAGAGGGTCTGTAGGTCGTGGCCTTGCAGGGGGATACCCCTCCGTCCCACATCTTGCCTGGGCATAGTTGTCAGGAAAAGCAAAGAAAATTATTGGTTTAATGCTGTAAAAACTATCAATATACTATCCAAAAAGGAAGTCAGATAGTTACATGTACAGGCAAGTTCAAGGAGTGCAGAGGTGCACAAAATACATTGTACCTGTATGTTCCCAATTAAAAAGCCATCTCATAGACCCTGTAAATAACTAATCAAACATAATAAACTGTAACCACTCCCTGTCGGCGACCTGTTTTCGGGTACATAGGCTTTATATGCAGAGCCGGGGAGCCCGGAACTGGGACAAAAGAGTTGGGCCTTATAACAAAAGACCGTGCTCAGCACAAAAGACTGAGCTGCTGGGCATTACTTTACATTTTTTGGCTCTCAATAGTGGAGATAATCCAGCCTTGTTTTGAAACAGTATACCACGGTTTGAGGCTTTTAGAGCGAAAAGAGGTCAGCAGTGCACTTTGCCGGTTTCAGGAACAAAGGAATCTTACGTAACACCGCACAATCTGGGCTCTTTCTCCAAGGCTGCAGGCCTGGCTGAAATATTCAGGAGTCAATGAATTTTACCCGCCAGCTTTAGAGTAGTGCCCAAAGAGTCCTTCATTTTGGTATAAATGGCCATTAAATGAAATGATGAATTTTTGAAGAATTTTGAAAACGGGAAATCTGGAAAAAGACCGGGCATCTTGTCTGGCTCAAGAAAAATCCACCCGGCAGCAAGTGGTTAATTGGAAACAAAGGGAGGGGGTTGGGAATTAGCAAACCTGTAAAATAACTTGCAGTAAAAGTTACATCATGTCTGGTAAATTGATTTTCAATAATTCTTCACTGTATGAGATGTTACCTGTGTGAATGATGTAAAAGAAGGGCTGAAAAGCATTTTCAGTGCTCTTTTGTTCTGTTTTCTCAAATACAAGGCGTCAACGCTTGGCAGTCAAAAAAAGAGAATCAAATTCTGCAGGCCATGGACAGAATAAATGGCAGTACAAATCAGCCCCAGCATCTCTAGGGGGTTTAGAGCGACAAGAGGCCATCACAGAGGTTAGTGGGTCAGTTAGATATACTGTAATGGGCCATCTACTAGCAAGTGTTAATACTGTTCTGAACGTCTTGTATGCATATATGCTACAGTATGTTTAATTAATTATTGTATAATTAGTTATTGTTTAATATTTTCAATGTATGGTATACATGCAGTCAGAAACAAGTACGCTGTGATAGCAGTGTTGTACGGAGATAATTAAAATGAGGAGCCAGTAAAAACCAGGACCTAGAGAAAAAGGTCGATTTTTGTACATACTGTACACCAACTCAAAGTACACAAGTTTATACATGTACGGAATCTGACAAAATACACAAACATTATTCTGTCAGTTATCCGCAGGACAGACAGGCTGTGGATTTTGTGCTTTTAGAATAAGTCAAAAATGGCAAAAAAATTATATGGAAAAAAAAAACGATGAAAAAAAGACAAGACATGTTTGTTCTTTTACTTTTGGGTATTTTGTACCTAGGACAGAACCGGACCTAAGGAAGCTTGAAATCTTTTGATTTCAAACTTACATTTGGGGCGGAAACAAGTTTTAGTGCACTGGAATTGTGGAGTGTATAGACTGCTCGTGCATCTAATGAATACACGAAACATCTCGGCTCCCCTACACACTCTATACACCATGCAACCACAAACCAGTCAACTCGAGTACCTAGTACCTGTAAGTGTGTGTACAATGTATGAACCTACATACCGGGTACATGCAAGCTACCGGTACATGTACATGCACGTTGCAGTTCAACGTAGGCTTATGCTGTGTACATAGTAAGACGGAGAAAAAAACGTGCGACCATAGAGATACATCGCTTGGTGCATGGAGAAGAAAACTGGGCAGCGATCATTTGTGAAATGTGACTGACAAGGTGGGCGACAAAGGGGCACAAAATCATGGTCGCCATTAGCAATAAGAATGAAACATGTGGTCACATATTATCATTTTTATGGGACTATTTTGGTCCCACTATACAGCGCTGTATGATAAAACTTTGCCAAAAAGTTAGTTTGTTTCATTATTATATACAGTCTTTGGTACAAAAGTTGGCAACTATAGCACACACATGTACATGTACGCTTTGCCATGCTCGCCTGTTCTTTCTAGATACTCAGATTTCACCATAGATCGTCCACCTTGTCCATTTTTTCTGATCATTTATCCCCATCTGTCTTCCCCATGTACTTTTCCTATCTGGAGTTCTCTTGGTCACTACATTCCAAGTCTACCTGCTTACCTCTTGCAACATGTGTAGCAAACCTTATGAGTTTCTTTTTGACAAAATACTGTGTTCCCATTCAAGGCAGTATGTCTCCGTATGTGATTTCCTCTATCTCGTCAACTGTTAGCACACATACATATATCTGTCACACAGCAATTCCAATGCATACAGTCCACATGTATTGTGTGTTATCCATTGACAAAATCCAGGATTCGCATCCATTGTGGCTTACTGAGAACTCAGTAGAATGCAAGACCTTCAATTTTTGCTTTATTGGTAAACTGCGAATCTAATACAAGCCTGTGTAACACCAATTCTGTCTGTCTGTTTATCCATCCGTCGGGCCGTCCCACTGTCTGCTCAATGTTAAAGTTTGTACCTGTGGGTATAGGACATGTACCGGTCTATGTACATGTATCATTTGTGCTTGTCTATTTCAATCCTGAGTTTGTTAGCATCAGATCTTTATGTGGAATCACAGCTCTGAAGGACTGTTTACATACATGTACACATTTAATGAACCCACAATTTTGTTACACACACATGTACATGTGATTACTGTACCCTCCTGTACTGTAAAGGGAGACAGATTGGGATGATTGGGTAAGGGAAAGAGTAGATGGGTTGGAACAGGAAATGGATGGGATGATGGGGTGAAGGTAGAGTACTAGATAGTTGGGATGACGGGGTGAAGGTAGAGTACTAGATAGTTGGGATGATGGGGTGAAGGTAGAGTACTAGATAGTTGGGATGATGGGGTGAAGGTAGAGTACTAGATAGTTGGGATGACGGGGTGAAGGTAGAGTACTGAATGGTTGGGATGATGGGGTGAAGGTAGAGTACAAAATGGTTGGGATGATGGGATGGGGTAGGCGGAGTTTGAAAGATTGGGTGGGAGGGCAGAATAGGAGTTGGGTGGGATGATTGTACCAGTGAGGGCGGAGTAAGAGATGGATGGGATGGGGCAGAGTTACATGTAGCTATGGATGGGATGATGGGATAGGGTGGAGTAGGAGATTGATGGAATGGGGTGGAGTAGGGAATGGATGAGATGGGGTGGAGTAGGAGATCGATGGGATGGGGTGGAGTAGGAGAGGGATGGAATGGGGTGGAGTAGGAGA